CCGGGGGTCCCGGGGGTCGCTGTGACTCTGAGATCCCAGAGATCCGGAGGGTCCCTGTGACTCCAGGGTCCCGGGGGTCCCGGGGGTCCCCGCGGTCCCGCCCCAGTCGGGCCCCAGGTGCGCGGGGGGCGGGGCCTCCGTGCCCGCCGTGTCCCGCCCCCCGCCGTTCTCTCAGCCAATGGGCGGCCGGCGGGAGGGCAGGCCCCGCCCTCGCGGTTTAAAAGCCGCCCCCCGCGCTCGGCGCCGCCAGAGAGGGGAGTGCTCGCCCGGCCGTCGATCCGCCCGCGCCATGGACTGACCGCCCTCCCCGACGGCCCCGCACGGCCCCGCACCGCCCGCCACGGTGAGTCCCGCGGCCGCGGCACCGCCCGACCCTCCACGCAGCCACTGGGGCTCGTGCGGCGGCCGCCCACGGGCGAGAGGGGGCTCTGCCGGCCACCGGGGGGCTTAGGGGACGGCGGGGCCCGAGGGGCCCTGGGCCGGGCGGCACCCGGGGTGGGCTGGGCACCCACGGTGACAGGGTGTCACCCGGGCCTCGGCCCCAGGCAGGACACCCAGGGCCGGCGACTCCTCCGGGCCTCGGATGGGGGTTGGTGTGTTCTGCTCCCTGCGAGGCCTCGGCTGAGCCAGGGGCACCCGGCTGGCTCCCGCCAGGGCTGGTGGCAGGGCCTCGGCCAGGCTGGGGGATGGCACTGTGGTGGGCTGGGATGAGGGTGCAGGCAGGGCCCGTGATCTCCCGTGCCTGTCCTGCCGTGGGATGTGCTGGGGTCTGGCCCAGGCACCTCGGCCTGGTGCTGAGGGTAAGGGGAGAGATGTGTCTGGGGCTAACATGGAGCACAGCTCCATCCAGCATGAGTGGGTGGCAGTGACCCACCCTGCCAGAAGAGGTCCAGGACCCCCATGGGACTGGCACGGTCCTGGGCCCATCCTGTGCTCACCCTGTCCTGGCAGACGTGGCAGCAGGGCTCTCCTGTTGGGGTCAGGCAGAGGTGGGAGCTGCTGACAGCCATGTTCACCACCACCACCCTCCTCAGCAGAAGGCTCGGCTGGGGTGGGGTTTGGCTGCCCTTGCCCTGCCTGTCCTTGGGGGTCAGTGTCCTGGGTCGCTGACCCGCCACAGGGCCAAGCGGGTCCCAAGGCGCTGCTTGTGAGGGTTTCTCCCTGGCTGGCACAGAGGGACGGGTGCCAGCAGGGCCACCAGCCAACCTGGCTGCCGGGGATACCCCACCGCTCCTCCTGCCGCCAGCTCCCTGCGTGCCTTGTTGTCACCCAGGGTGCAATTGGAGGGTGCTGGCCCCCGTCACCCTCTTTGGGTGTGACTTTGGGGCACCGTGGGGGTAAATGTTCCTTTCCACACCTGGCTCCCTCCCAGGCTGCCAGTTGCCACAGGAGCCAATGTATCTCAGCAGAGATGCTCCAATTCCAAGACTCCTCTTCCCAGCCAAAACCCCTCAGTCACGTCACCCCTACACACCCACTCTTGTCAACACGCCCTGCGCCGACAGGTCCTGCTGGGGCCGGGGCGGCCAGGCTGCCCTGACCCAGCCGTGCGCTGCCCACACGGCACTGGGCAGTGCCGCCGTCAGGGATGACACTAATTACTGTTTTCCCCTGCACCACGCCAAGGCCAGCCGGCCTCGCCGGGTGGCCCTGACGCAAGTGCTGCCTGCCTGGCTGGCTCTGCCGGCGGGACACGGCACGAGGAAGCGCTCGGGGACAGCCGCGGCCACCCCAGTCACTGCAGAGGAATCTGCCCGTGCCGCCCGGGCCACGCGTGGCACCATCACCGGCCTCCTCCCACCCTCCGCCGGCGTTCCGGCTCCTCCCGAGGCGGTTTGGCTGCTGGTGAAGCGGCTCTGCTGGTTTTTCTCCTTGCCAGCACCTGAGATGGGGAGCACGGCCGGGTCAAAGGGGCAGGAGCGGGATGGAGGGGCTGGCGAGTGCTCCCGGGAATGCAATAACCAGGCCTGCATTCCTGCGGGGCTGCTGCGGAAACTTTAATTAAATAGGGAGGGGAGCGGGAGGAGGTGGGAGCTGAGGCAGCGCAGGGTGGGTTGAAAGGGAGGAGGATTAAGGGCTTAATCCTGCATCCCCCCAGCTGGCTCTCGGGAGGGGGCACGTGCTGACATCAGCTTGCTTTGGGGGGTGTAAGGGAGGGGAGCAGCTCTGCATCCTGCCCGGTAAAGGCACCACGTCCCTCCCTGCGGTGACAGGGATGGAGTTCAGGGCCCAGCTGTGAGCAGGGCCCCTGTCCTTCCTGCCCTGGTGCCACCAGCCAAGGTGGCAACCCACCGGCCAGCAACAACGCTGGCTTTGTTCGGCCTTGGGGCCTTGCTTGCCGGTGCGGAAAGGGACATCCTGGCTCTGCCTGGTTCCCTGAGGTCCCCAGGCAGTGGGGAAGGGCAGGAACCCCCAGGAGGGCTCCTCCAGCCTGTCCTGCACAGGTGTCACCCTGCGGCGTGGGGAGAGCATCGTCCTTGTTGTTAAAACGTGTGGTGGATGCAAAGTGGGACAGCAGCGGGATTGCCCAGCCTGGGGGGCTGCAGGCAGGAAGGGGGACACTGCACTCCCACCCCAGCAGGCTGGCAGGGAAAGGCTGAGCCGGGACTGGGGGAATCCGAGCCCAGATCCTCCCCACAGCCGGAAAATATGAATAATACGGCAAATATCTGCGGTGCAGGCGCGGGGGAGCCCAGCCAAGGCAGCAGTGGGCCGCTGGCAGGGCGGCCCCAACACCTCCAGCAGAACCGGGGCCTCCTCTCCACCCTTGGGGACCCTGCCAGGACCTGGGGAGGCCGTTTCCCTGTCCCTTGTTTCTGGGGGTGACCTGGGCTGGGTTAAACCTCTCGCTGCCTTGAAATAGCATCGGGCTGTGGTGGAGGCGGCGTGTGCCAGCGGAGCGGGCGATGCCGAGGGGGCGGCGGTGGAGGCGCGCGGAGCGGCCGTGCCAGCCTGCCCGGCGCTCGTGGCCGGGCATGGATGCCCGGTGGCCGGGCTGGGCAAACCTGCCTGGAGCGGGGAGCCTGGCAGGCAGGGAGGAAATGCCAGCGTAATTAAAGGGACGAAAGAGACTT